TTTCGTGCCTTGGAGTTCATTAATTTTTTTTTTTTTTTGGATTTTCTTATATATTTCACAACAACCACCACCTACAACCCACCACATCCACATCAAACTTAAAATCAACACCGCCACCTCCTCCAATCCACGAACTCCACAACCACCAACACCGCATATAGCTGCGCCACCACTGAAGTGATTTATTATAGGTACATGATCAACAACAGTGTAAACACCTTAACACCACCGTCGTCACTTCCTCTCCTTCCTTACCTGCGTTATTGCCACTACATTGCTATCGCTATCCCTCCTCCACAAGCGGGTTAATGGCTTCAAGCAGATTTGCGGGTCGGATATGCTTTCCCCAAATCAAGTTCTAGTTGTCCGTCTCATAATTTCGCATCCCTTGAATGAATGATGGAGATTGATTCTATTTTATACTTCATATTTTTTGTCTAGATTATTTTTTATGGATATGTTTCTACAAACTTTTATTGAACTATTATAAGTTTTTATATCTTATTAAATGAGACATCTGATTATAAAATCATATCGATCTCTCTTCTTTATTCCAGAATATTCCAACAAGAAAAAAAAATATTATTTTTAAATCTATTCCTTCAAGTAGCAAATTCGTTATTTTCTATTTTTTTTTAACAAAAAATGTTGACAATATCAGCATTTGAAATCTTTTCAGATTATGGGTAGAAATTGCAATAGTTAGAAGAAAAATTGAAGGTATATTGTGACCTCTGTATGGATATGTGACTACTTTTACCATGTAATCGTATGTCGTCATTGTGATTTTGGATGTATTGCTTAAAAAAAAGGCAATTGTGACTCTGATTAATTCTATATTTTATAATTGCAACAAATTCATATGGCAGAATATGAGTTCCCGTGAGATGTGAAAATAATTTTGACTATGACTATTGATGTTCCGTAGAATTGTGACAACTTCATGTGACATGTGGACGTGATTGTGAAGTGAGAGCATTTTGACTTAGTAACATACAATAACGACTTATATGAGTCGTATTCCTTCTATGTTACAGATTTGAGATTCCAAATTTTTTAGTCCTCTAACCATCTATTTACTATATTAAAGAAGGATAGCTGCTGCACAGTATTCCCGCTTAAGATGGTGGACCAATTTCCCGCCCAAGGGAATAGGCAAAGAAAAAACAAAAAAGAAAA